GCGTCTTCTAAGAGCAATTAAAAGTTAATACCAGGATTCGAACCTGGGACATTAGCTGTAGGCGTCGAGGCTGACAAACGTGAAGCAGATGCATGAGTGGCTACCACTCAGTACTCATGAGCCACATCCTGTTCGCTCTGAAAGGAATTGGGGTTCGGATATAGTGATATGCCACGATTTACTTACGAAACGTAGATGAAGCGTGGCGCACAAAGTTGGCAGTCTTTAGCGAGAACAAGAAAAGAAATGTTCTTCCACGACCTACCAGGAGCAACTAGCAATGGTAGAATTCGAATCTACACCTTTCGCCTGTATCCAAGCTGTATGGCACCCGCATGAGGAGGTGATTGAGCTACATTGGCCGTTCATTATAATAATAATTAGTCCCCTGAATACTTAAGATTCTACTGTGTTTATGATCATGAGGTCGTGACCTTCACTATAAGTTGAAATTTGAATGTCGCAGCGTGGATAAACGAAAGAACGAACGAATGAAGGCACAAAAAGAAATGTATCTGTTCACAGGGAGGTTACCAATGGCAAACCAATGGCAGGATTCGAACCTACATCTTCGCCTGTAAGTATGGCAAGTTAGCGCGGTATGAAGAGGCGATGCTCTTTCATTGAGCTACATGGGCCGTTGATTATAATTAGTTTCTTGAATACTTCTACTGTGTTTGTGAATCGTGAGTCGCGACATTTTGGTGAAATTATGAAATTATTATGATAAAGTGAGGACGTCGACGAGGGTTTGAAAGTTCACTTCAAAGTGAGCGCTTGAGCACTTGGACTCACTTCAGGACAAGGGTGATCCAGAATTGTCCTTCGTCGTGTGAGGAAAAAATATGTAAGTAGTCCAGTTTCGGAAGAAGGGAAGCGCCGATTGTAGGATTCGAACCTACATCCTTCGCTTTGTGTAAACTCCATCTCTATAGACAGCGATGCTCTATCATTGAGCTACATCGGCCACATTGTTAGTCGGACTGCGTGCAGACCATGTGCATCAATCCCCGTACCCCGTCATTGGGTCAGCCTTGGTCCAAAGAAAAAAGATCACGCTCCAGATTACCCGATGCATGGGAGTCAACGTCGGGCCGCAAACCTACGACATTTCCCCGTAAGCTTTTCTGTTGAACTGAAAGCATTCCAGCGATCATAACACTGCGGACTCCCTCTTCGAGTCAGCGCTAGTAAATATTGATGGATTAAATAATAAATATGGCGCAAGGATGTTTAAGAGTGAAGTGTGTTTAGTTTTGAGCGGTACGTGGAGTGAGGTGTTTGCGATTAAACTTGATGGACGGAGATGATGGATGGGAAGGTTGAGGGAGACAAACGATATTCCATTGCTAACAATCACATGAGCGCCCAAGGACTCCATTTCAACGAGATATACATACCAATACGCTCTCAGTCCTTTACTTCATCCAACCAAATAACTTTCCAGAGGCCTCAGGGGACACGAGAAACCTAAACACCTGCATCCCATATCGAATCCTCAACCAGGGCAAGACAAGAGGAACCCGTTTCATGTCCAGATACGGATATACCGTTTCTCCAGGACACTCCAACTCAGAGGTAGGCGCTACAATAAAAGAAGGGGGCATTCTACGATCAAAATCCAATACGAGATGGATGGGTCGTTCGGTCGAAGGTGTTGCGAGAAGCTTTTGTATACCTGGTTTGACCGTATCTTGTTGCTCGTCCATATCTCGCTCCATAACGTATTTGTACAGAGATTGCGTTGCTGGAGACTCAAGGAGGTTCCGTTCTGGGATTGGATTGAGAGAGAACACGGTGGAAACGGCATTGTCAATGAGTAAAGCGTACCAGGTCGATATGATTTGCAATGCCATCTATGACGGTGCCAATCTCGTTCTTGGCAGCCTTTCGAGCAGTAAAATATTACTTTGCATCCAGCACATCGATGAAGTTTAGTTGATTTGTCTCCCAAAGTTTCTTGTTTACCGCACTTGGATTCAATGTTAGTCAAAGGTCTCGGTCGTCATCGATAAAGGAAGAAAAAACTTACCAAACGATTCGA